CTCGATAATGGTACTCAAAGTTGTCCATTTTCATCACTAATCAAGGCTTTCAACAGTCCAAGGTGGATTACAACTTGTTCATAAAGGGTATAGAGAAATCCTTCACAGCGATATCGGTTTATGTTGATGATATAATTATTGCTGGGAATAATGATAAAGTCATAGATTTACTTAAGGGCTCCCTAAATGATAATTATAAAATTAAGGATTTGGGAAATCTGAAATATTTCCATGGAATTGAGGTTGCTCGATCAGCAAAAGGAATCCAGATTTGTCAAATGAAGTATGCATTGGATATCTTAGCTGATTCAGGAACAATTGGGGTCACTCCAGCCAAGATTCCACTTGACCAAAACATCAAGCTATCCAAGGATGAAGGGAAAATTTTGTCTGACACTGCTCTGTACAGGAGATTAATTGGAAGATTGATTTACTTAACAATCACTAAACCTGATTTAACATACTCAGTACATTTGCTAAGTCAGTATGTGTAGAATCCTAGATTGCCACATCTTAATGCGGCACATAAAGTTCTTAGATACATCAAAAGAGATCCAGGACAAGGGTTATTCTTTCCTTCATCATCCACATTGTAGCTTAAAGCTTATAGTGACCGTGATTAGGAAGGATGTCCAGATTCTCGAAGATCTATCACTGGTTATTCTGTGTTTATTGGTTCCTCTCTAGTGTCCTTAAAATCAAAGAAGCAAAATACTATCTCTAGATCCTCAGCAGAGTCAAAATATAAGGCAATAGCAACTGTCTGTTGTGAACTAACGTGGCTAAAGTATATTCTTGATGACTTGCATATTCCTCACTCACAACCGGCTAAACTATTCTGTGATAATCAGGTAGCATTGCATATAGTTGCCAACCCCGTGTTCCATGAAAAGACCAAACATATTGAATTGGATTGTTACCTTGTATGCGATAAAATTCAGGAAGGAAGTGTTATCACAAGACATGTCAAAACTGGATCTCAAATTGCAGATATTCTTACCAAACCTCTCCCTTCGGACGCCTTCTATTTCCATATGTCCAAGATGGGAGTAGAAAATATCCACTCTCCATCTTGAGGAGGGGCCGTTGAAGATCAAATTGACGTGCAGCCAAGAAGGGCCTAGAAGACAGCATTACCAGCTCACCCACATGGCCTGATGCGTTTGCAATTGGATTCCAAATTCTGTTAATAGTGCATACATTTTGTAACAAATTTTTTGTTTACCACATGTGCAGTTTTTATCTGTTGAATTTTGTATGTGTGTGTGTGCCATCTTTTCCATCATAGATATATGAAAAACAGAATGCATCGACTATAGATGCTTTATTAATTTCATTAGTTTATTTATCTTTCCATTCATTTTTTATCAACATTTCTTATAAGTAGTCCAGAAGAGAACTTCAGGGATGATTAATTCTTCTACAGCTTCAAGGGTGAAGCTCATAGCTCCATCAGAAGTAATGCATGAAAACAGTGGTACGTTTGATGAAACTATATCATTTAATCTAGCAAGGATGTCCATAAAAGGAGCTAAGCAAGTATTGGTTGTGGATTCACACAAGGTGGGGATATCTTATGTAGCATCTGATATAGGAAGGCCAACGAAAATTGTTTCGAATCTAAAGGATTTAAGGCCTTTGAGTGAGTCAGGACCTT